CCATGGTCTGGTGATAGTACCATGGTCTGGTGATAGTATCATGGTCTGGTGATATAGTATTATGGTCTGGTGATAGTACCATGGTCTGGTGATAGTACCATGGTCTGGTGATAGTACCATGGTCTGGTGATAGTACCATGGTCTGGTGATAGTACCATGGTCTGGTGATAGTACCATGGTCTGGTGATAGTACCATGGTCTGGTGATAGTATCATGGTCTGGTGATAGTACCATGGTTCTGGTGATAGTAACCATGGTCTGGTGATAGTTTATGGTCCTGTTACCTGAGCCCTCTGCACGCCCTCCTCCTTCAGCTCCTGCAGACTCAGCCTCCACTCCAGAGGAGCGTCGCAGGGCGTCACCGTCACCGACAGCGGCGTGTTGTCCTCCTCACCACAAAGTAGTACTGGAAACCACAGGGTCAACACACAGTCTGTCATTTTTGACACCAGGGCTCTGCTTTCTCCCAGGGAGGACTCAAATATAAGAACGTTTACACATACATAAAAACGCTCAGTCTAGGTGGCAGATACAGTGTACAATCAAATGAATAAGCATTGTAAATAAACCAGGTCAGTATACAGAAGATACACGGATAACAAAGTACAGAAATCTGAATAGAATTCCGTTAGTTTTATTGATCATTACCAACAGTCTTTTTCAAAAACTCCATTAAATGTATTACAGCTTGTGCAGAAACAAACATATTATGTAGCTGAGGAATATTCAGAGAAAAACTCTCAAAATACTTTTAAATTAGAGTCACAGTGTTTGTGTGAATGTGTAAGTTTATCTCAGAGAAAGTATGAGTTTGTTTCAATTAATTAAACAATGACATATTGGTACATGTACCACTCTGATTCTGGGTATTCTGATTATGTTTGAAACCATATGAAATGCATTTACACAATTACAAATGTCTCTGGGTTTGAAAACGGTTGAAAAGTGTTGGAATAATGTGAGCATACGACTCATCTAAATATTATAACATACGTCTGGTTGTTTCAATGCAGAAAAGAGACTCGGTTAATACGTCAGTCTGGAGCTGCAGAGATGATGTTTCTCTGACCTTGGTCTCTGAGCTGACACTCGATTACACGACGTCTCATTTATTATTTAGATCCTGCTTCTCAGATCCTGTTAGAGTCTGTTTCCTCTCTGTTTACAGGAAGAGGCCGTCAGCAGATCACAGTTTCCTCCTGACTGAAGGATCAGGTTTATCTTTGTTAGAGAGTAACATGCATCGCACGCATTATTCTATCTTCAGACATTCAGTCACATTCAACTAGGCACAGGAGCATTGACCTACCCTTATTGCCATGCATCAAGACAATCATTCCTCTTGCAAATTCAGAGATCAAATCCAATGAATTTCTCACTAAATATAACTTGTTAGCTTTTAGGACGAAGTTAAGTTCAATTTTATGGCGAGATGTCCAACCCAGTCTCACGGCATTTTGTGTAATAGCCACGAAATAAATGTAATCTATTGATTAACCAACACGATTTCCCCCATTATTTGTACGATTTAAAAAGCAATGTATTTCTATTGGTAGTATGTTTCGTGCCGGCACCACGTCCTTTTGTCCGGTCGGGTCTTGGAAGACCGGAAGCTGTGTGGTTCATAAAAACATGTTCTGACTCAATATCAAGCCACGATTATTGTTTTTATTTAAATCGTATAATGTCGGACTTTTTTTTGCCGTCCCGCGAGGAAAATAAATGGCTCAGAGCCTCAGAATACTGACATCTGTATTTTTCTAATTGTTATTATTTACATTGCCGAAAAAATTGGGGGAAATGGTGTTGGTGAACACGAATCAATAGATTCATTTCGTGACTAGAACACGAAATGCCGGTGAGACCTGGGTTGAGATTTTCCTTACGTGTTTTATTTTTATTCACTGCTTTCTTTACGAGGGTAAAATACATTTTCATTTGTTTTGATTTGACTCGGGATCTGACTTTTAAGCTTCCTCCCTTTCGTGCATGGGGAAAAAAATGTCTTTGTATTTTTGTCTTATTTTGTATTTTATTTTATTTGATGTATTTTTGTCTAATTTATTGATATTTTGTCTTATTTTTGGTATTTTGTATAGACTGTATATTTTTCTTAGTTATGGGCGTACCTTTTGGGCGTGTCCCTGAACATAATGCAGGTGTTTGACCTCACCTTTTGGGCGTGTCCTCTGAACATAATGCAGGTGTTTGGCCTCACCTTTGGGCGTGTCTCTGAACATAATGCAGGTGTTTGGCCTCAACCTTTTGGGCGTGTCTCTGAACATAATGCAGGTGTTTGGCCTCACCTTTTGGGCGTGTCCTCTGAACAGGTACCCGCTGATCTCCGGCTCCGTCGGGGATGACGGAGGAGTCGTGGAACAGCGTCTTGTCTCTGATCTGCATCTGGAACAAACCCTCGTCTCTGGTGGGAAGCTTCTGGGCCGAAAACTCCGATTCCCAGAAGCACCAGCAGCACCATCCAGCCTTTGCCCTGCCTCATCCTGGAAAACACAGAGAAATACACTTTCATTTACTTCCGTCTTTATCCTGGAGAAACGTTGAAAATATACTGTCATTGATTCCGTCTTTATCCTGACCTTTAGACAGAAATTAGATATACTTTATTGCTCCCTAATTGGCAGTAAGTGTGAAGCTAGCTTAGCTTAGCATAAAGACTGGAAACAGAGGGAAACAGCTAGCCTGATGTATGATAAAATAATGTTATAAGTGCCATAATGTACAATAATGTGACCTTTTTGTGTCTTTTACAGTCAAATTCATCCATTTAATCTGAATCTGTGTTTACGCAACGTGAACTCTTTCCACCCAAACATGCTGTAATGTTGACGGCAGATTATAATACATTTTGTAATATTAGGCTTACTTTCCAAACTCTTTCCATCATCATACGTCAGAAAAATACAAGTAGACATTTAGGCGTGTTAAAATTATTAGTTAATTTGTAAAATTACACGTAACTGTATTTGTGAGTCATGTACGATCATTATTTCTAAAATCATTATTATTTTAAGCCTCTGCAATGACAGCTTAATATTTCACATCTGTTTTCACTGCCTGCTGCGTCTGAAGGTTAAAATAAGACGATGGAGTTGGAGAGAAAATATTCTTTTGGCTATGAAACGGTCCACTTTATAATCCTGGCTGAAACCCTGACTCGTCCTGTCTCCATTTACTTTCAGTATGAATACATTTTATTGGATTTAATGTCTAAATTAGTTAGTTTTTCACCTTCAAATAGAACGGTTAGATAGAATTGGGAGGGATGAAACCCTCTTTAATGGTCACACATGCAGAGCACACAGTGAAATGTGTTCTCTGCTTTAACCCATCCTGTACCAGGAGTCTAGAACCAGGAGTGCTAGAACCCAGGAGTCTAGAACCAGGAGTCTAGAACCAGGAGTCCTAGCACCAGGAGTCTAGTACCAGGAGTCTAGAACCAGGAGAGTCTAGAACCAGGAGTCTAGAACCAGGAGTCTAGAACCAGGAGTCTAGAACCAGGAGTCTAGCACCAGGAGTCTAGTACCAGGAGTCTAGCACCAGGAGTCTAGAACCAGGAGTCTAGCACCAGGAGTCTAGAACCAGGAGTCTAGCCACCAGGAGTCTAGCACCGGAGGTCTAATACCCAGGACTCTAGCACCAGGAGTCTAGCACCAGGAGTCTAGCACCAGGACTCTAGCACCAGGAGTCTAGCACCAGGAGTCTAGAACCAGGAGTCTAGCACCAGGAGTCTAGAACCAGGAGTCTAGCACCAGGAGTCTAGAACCAGGAGTCTAGTACCAGGAGTCTAGAACCAGGAGTCTAGCACCAGGAGTCTAGCACCAGGAGTCTAGCACCAGGAGTCTAGCACCAGGAGTCTAGAACCAGGAGTCTAGTACCAGGAGTCTAGTCCAGGAGTCTAGTGCCAGGAGTCTAGCACCAGGAGTCTAGTACCAGGAGTCTAGAACCAGGAGTCTAGTACCAGGAGTCTAGTCCAGGAGTCTAGTGCCAGGAGTCTAGTACCAGGAGTCTAGCCAGGAGTAGCACCAGGAGTATAGTGCCAGGAGTCTAGTACCAGGAGTCTATCCAGGAGTCTAGTGCACCAGGAGTCTAGCCAGGAGTCTAGTCCAGGAGTCTAGTACCAGGAGTCTAGCACCAGGAGTCTAGTACCAGGAGTCTAGCACCAGGAGTCTAGAACCAGGAGTCTAGCCAGGAGTCTAGCACCAGGAGTCTAGTAGCACCAGGAGTCTAGACCAGGAGTCTAGTTACCAGGAGTCTAGCACCAGGAGTCTAGTCCCAGAGTCTAGTAAGCCTAGCCAGGAGTCTAGTACCAGGAGTCTAGTACCAGGAGGTCTAGTACCAGGAGTCTAGTACCAGGAGTCTAGTACAGGAGTCTAGTACCAGGAGTCTAGCACCAGGAGTCTAGTAACCTAGGAGTCTAGTACCAGGAGTCTAGTACCAGGAGTCTAGTACCAGGAGTCTAGTACACAGGAGTCTAGCACCAGGAGTCTAGTACCAGGAGTCTAGTACCAGGAGTCTAGTACCAGGAGTCTAGTACCAGGAGTCTAGCACCAGGAGTCTTAGTTACCAGGAGTCTAGTACAGGAGGTCTAGTACCAGGAGTCTAGTACCAGGAGAAGTGGGCAGTGAGAACAAAGGAGGTCCTGATCAAGATGACATCTAATCCTTTCCAGTAAAACAAACATTATTGATCACTTGTGAGAAAGCCAGCCTGTTTTTGAGGTTTATGCTAGCTTTAATAAGTTAATACTTAGCATACAGACATGAGCGCTGATCAATGTTCTCAATGAAATCTTGATGAGAAAACAAAGTAGTGTACTTCCCAAGATGTTAAACTCTTTCTTTGACAAAGCAATCAGAGCTTCATATAAAAAACCCTTTGTGACAAATACCATGTTCTTTTGTGTTTATGCTAATTTAGATACGCTTATATTTAGCATAAAGACAGGATCAATCCCATCTCACTTCTTGTATAATCATCTCTGCTCATCAGCCTGTGGCCCCGGCCCCACGGGAACGCATACGGCAAAACGCATATGAACGCAAACGCAATCGCCAAAAAGCTTCCGTCCACACGCAATAGACACCGGATAGTGTCTGTTCACACGAGACGGCTCCGCTTAGATCCAACCGCTGGAAAAGCTGCAGTACATATGCCGAGCCTGTACGTGGCGCTGTAACTTCCTCCACAAAAGCAGCGAAGAAGAATGGTTGTCATGGCTGCACTTCTGTTTATTCTCCGCAGTGGGGGCCGAGGGATCCGGGCAGAGTTTTTCGCCGGTCAACGTGTGTTAAAGTTTAAATCTTCCGGACAAAATGATAAAAGTGCCGGTCAAAGGTCTTCTTTGTTATTTATTGAGCTTTAAAAACAAATGAATACGACTCTATATAATGATATATAATAATAAAATACCAGAGCCTCTCTTTTCCCTCTCTTCTGACAGCGTCAGTGTCTGTCTCATGCAGACAGCTGATCCAGTAATGAGTGACCAGACAGTAAAAATAAACATATTTATAACTAGTTTAGTTTGAGAGGTAATTAAAATAGCTAAGGGTGGATGATCTGACTTGAAGTGTGTGTTTTTGCTCTCGCTGCATCACAGCGGGAGGAGCTGCGTGTCTCCGTCCTGTCAGATTAGACTTCACTCGCGTTATGTCCATATCGATGATAAAGATAAATAATCTGAATTCAGTGTGCAGTGTACTTTGAGGCGGGGGGTGAGCAGCAGAGGTGGGGAGAGGCGGGGCCTATTGCGTCATCATTATCACAAAATGACCGTATAGGCGACCCCACGGCCCCGTTGGACCCCCAGAGCGCTCCGTTCCCAGATCTATCCACCTTTGGACACGTTGTCGTTTGCGGGGTCTGTTTTCTATCGTTTAGTTACGGCCTCGTGTGCAAACAGGGCTATACGCAAGAGAAAGTATGCGGATACAACCCGTTTTCGTCTCGTGGGGCCGGGCCTCAGTGAGTGTTGGGTAAATGCCTGTTTTCATGATGTTCAGAATGGCTTTTAGTCTTTGGCTTCTTCCTTCCTTTCCTTTCTGCAGAGCACAGCGTGTTGGCAGCAGACATTACAGTGTCTTTCATCCACTTTTATTTGATGTTCAAATGTGTTTTCCTAGCTTCTCCTCCTCTCAGTTTGAACCTTAATTAACACTTAAGTGAGCGGAGGAAGGGAGGGGATTTAAACATTTAAAATACAGACGCGTAAAGGAAAAGCTTTCGCTATAAACTCTTTTTCATAAAACGCTTGACTTAAAATCTCTAAATCCCTGTGTTTGAGTTGTATTGCAGTGTGTGTGTGTGTGCGTGGCGTGTTGCTGGTGCGTGTGCGTGTGCGGTGCGTGTGCGTGTGCGTTGTGCGTGTGTGTGTGTGTGTGTGCTGGAGCTCTCTATTGATTTCCCTGCATTGATTGCAGCTGATGGGAACGTTAAATCCCCGGAGATTTAATCAGGGTAAATGACGGCAGATTAGCCAGATACTTTACTGCCATTTATCTGCCAGAGAGAGGGTGTACCTTTTAATGACCCCTCTCCCCCTTTCTCCATCTTTCTCCCTCCCCCTTTCTCCATCTTTCCCTCCCTCCCCCTTTCCTCCATCTTTCTCCCTCCCCCTTCCTCCCCCTTCCTCCCTCTTGATCGCCGCTTTACATCCAACAAATAATCTCTTTCTGTCTCACAACTAACGAATCCCGCCTCAAACGGTCCCTCTCTCTTCCTCGTCCTCCTCCCTAAACACTGACAGAGACTGTCTGCTGAGACCTCAACTTGTTTACTATTTAGAGGCATTTCTAACTGGTTCATACTGTATATAACTATACCTCTTTTATATGTCATTATATTCTTATATTATAAACATCGCTCTGCAATTCACTTCACATCTGAGTGCATTTCTTTGTCTCAGCACTTGAATCTAATCTAACGGAAAGGGTCTGATCTTCTACCTCAGCCGTCGTCACTAAAACACGTCTTGGTTGAGAGTGTATTGCAGATACTTTTGAACTTAAGTACGAGTTGTTTAAGAGTTTCTGCAGTATGAGTAACAGCAGAGGTCTGAATGAACCTCGACACGACGCCTCATTTCTGCTCTTTAGAAACCCGCAGAGAGAAATCCTGTCTCTGTTGGACTTCAGAGGAGAAGAGCAAGCCGTCTGTAAATCACAGATCTTATCTTTCTGTCACTCTGAACAAAGACAAGTCTATAAACAAAGGCTCAGAGGGGGTTTGTCCCACGGCTCCCTGAACACACCACACCCACAGCACTGATGTCAATCACACATGGTAAACAAGCTCTTCATTAGAAGCATTTACAATCCTTTCTACAACACCTTTTTAAGAACTATGGAAACGGTTCAGAGTCACTCTTTCTAATCAGAGCTCCATTTGAGGATGAGAAGTGAAATATTAATAACGTTTGATTGATTGATTGATTGATGATGTATCTGTCAGCTCTGTCATCAGCACAGTGATTAAGAGACA